CGAGAATAGATGACTGAGCAATATGGGAAAGTCGGACGCTTGTTTAATAATCGAATTCGGAATCCCGTCCGTTCCTGAGCAGTGGGAGTATTTCAAACGGCTTATGTGTTTCTTAATGAGATCTGAGGAGACATCAATTGTATTAAGTGTCCTATCTGAAAGTGATCGAAAGAATGGAACCGGATCGGACTCGGTAGCAAGGTGTTTTGCAAAGAAAGCACTAAACAACTCCGCCTTGTCAGTGTCCTCGGTGAGGAAGACTTTGTTATCATTTAGCATGGGTGGAAGTTCATGACCACGCATATTTAATATTGAAATTCGTTTCACTAATATTCCGAAATTTATTTATTACATTCAACATTTGCATTCCTATCACACAACCCCACCCGAATTCGGAGATTTACGGATACCTGTATTCTCCCCAAAATCTCATCGTTTTCTTGTGATTAGCATTGAATAACTTAAAGAGGGACTTGCTCAGTTTAAAACCGGTTCACCGAATGCTGTCTTTTACTGTTGGTGCTTAATAATGCATTTTGGTTGATATTTGAATACAACGACATTTCACAACGTTCAATCAATTTGCTAACCAAGTTCTGGATGAGGGTATCCATCTTACTCATATTGAATTAATTGTCGCGAAGTTTCTTCGTCACATGCGCCGAGGCTTTCGGCACACCACTTGCCGTAAATCGCCATACCTAGTTCTCTATTTCCATCTATTCAGTTCAGTGGTCTCGCTTGTTAGACGCAAGAACAAAGGTCGATATCGTTTACATTGATTTCAAGAAAGCCTTTGATAGTGTTCCAAACCACCGGTTACTTTACAAGGTCCGAGAGTCAGGGATAAGGGAAACCTATTAAACTGGGTAAAGGACTTTCTGACTGTTCGATCACAATCTGTGCGTATTGGTAGTGCGAAGTCATTGCCAGTGCCGGTCGTGAGTGGAGTTCCCCAGGGCTCCGTACTCAGACAAGTACTATTTTTAATTTATGTCAACGACTGTATAAATGGACTGGACTGCAATGGAGTCATGTTTGCCGATGACATCAAGTTATGGCGAGCGATCAACGGGAAAAGTGCTGAACGGGCCCTACAAGAAGGACTGAACCGCCTATGCGAATGGTCTGATAAATGGCAGTTGAAGTTTAACCTTGAAAATGGCGTCACGCCTCGACTCAAAACAGTTGGAAGAGCCAACGGAGAGGATCACCATTACCAACTTGGTGGAAGGTGCCTTTCAAATGTGACCCAACAAAAAGATCTTGGGATCAACATTTTGTCGAGCCTTAAGCCTTCCTCTCAGTGCGTTAGGGCGGCCAAAACGGCAACTAGTGTTCTCTTTGCCATTAAACGAACTTTCGTAGACATAGATAAAGAGTTATTTGGAAAAGTATATGGAGCATTCATTCGTTCGCACCCAGAATATGGAATCCAAGCGCGGCGCCCGTGGCTAAAAAAAGACTATAAGTTGCTAGAAAGAGTTCAGAGGAGAGCGACAAATGTTGTGAAAGGCCTCAGGACTTTACCTTACAACTGCCGACTTAGTGAACTTATACTCTTTCTGCTTGAGTACAGGCAGGTTCGAGGTGATCTCATACAGGCCTATCGGATATTGAGGAGCCGGGACTGTGCCCTACACCTGGACGATTTCTTTACCCTGGCCACAACAACAAACCTGCGTGGGAACTCCCTAAAACTTATAGGAACCCGATGCCGCCTGGACGTTCGAAGATTCTGTTTTTCACAGCGAGTCGTCGGTGCCTGGAACGGGCTTCCCGAGGACGTAATATTGGCGGATACCACGGAGACGTTCAAGCAAAGACTAGATGTATATTTGCTTGGACAATACCGCTTGTCTGGACAGAACAGCTCTGTGGTGCCAAACCAACGCCTTGCATACACCTACCGCTAATGCGGATGACTGTAATTGCATTTTACCGATATCATCTTCAACTGAATTTGTTTGAGTTTCGGTCCTACAATTTCAATGGAAAGTATTCTGTTAAGTGAATATATTACTGACAACATTTTAGAACTGTGTTTATTTAAAGTTACATATTGTATGTACCGTTTGCAATAGGGTTTTCAAAGGCATTGCCCATTACCCTTAAAATATACTGACCTATATACTGACCTACTTCAGTTTATTTGAGGGAGATAAAGGTGTTGAACCTTTGAACCCCCTATTTGTAACCAGGAGGCGAACTATATCAAAAATTTGAAAATGGAAACATCAAACAGCTACAGAGTTTATTCAGATTCGCAAATTTTCGCAGCCAGACGGATAAACGAAGTGCTCCAAGAGTCAAAAACATTAACGTTACTAAGTGTGCTGTACAGTAGTCTATCTATGGATAGTTGGTGCAGTCTCAGTTTCTGAAGGAGACGAATTAGATGCCAAAGGACATTCAACAGACATGGGACAATAATAAAAAACAAACAGCACTGAAATACAGGCAGCAATATAACAACATTAATAAACTGTTCGAACGAAACGCAAGACGTTCTCGGTCCGGTGGCATTAGGACTAGAACTGTCATCATAACTGTTGACAATTCATGTGACTTCCTTACTCCTATAATTTATTGGTTTGCATTCCGGCTGCAAAGAATGCAGATGGTTTTTGATGAAAATTTTGGAATGAAATTTTCAGGATAAAGCGCATTCTCACTCATTTCCATGTTTGATGGTCTTCCGGCAGTGTGCAAATTAAATTTGGGCCCATATGAGTCTACTGCATTAAACGCATATTAATGTCACCCAGTCTGATAAAAAAACAAATGGTCTTCTATTATTCGCATTCTGAACTTTTAATGCGCCATAGAGAGGATTTCTTGCCGTGACAACGTTGTAGCAGCGCTTTTTACCACTTCATTTTACACGATTTTACATTATGGCCTTGACCAACAGAACAAACCAGTACTTGCAGGCCAACGCAAAACAGAAACTTGGGGCAGCAACAAACTCTGTAGAGAAGTTGCGACTTCAGTGTCTTTCAAGGGGTGGAACGGGGATAATGGGGTTAGCTCGGTAAAGATAAAATAGGAGTATATTAATTTGCAACTAAGTGGAGTTCCCTACGTACAAGTTTGAAATTTATTCACCTTCTTAATTTGTCAAGTTTTTAACTGCTGAGTAAAAACAAACAGTATCGCTGTATCGGAGTTAAAACAAAATACTACTAAAAACGTTGAACAATTTTGTTAACGTCGCGACAACAAAAGAGTGGAGTTCTCTGTTGCTGTTTTATCGTTATATCGTCGTATATTCGACAGGTCAAAACATTTTTGTATAGTTCTAGCTTTCTGTTAAGGAGGCGTTTTTGCCGCATTTTGTACTTGTCCAGAGAACTACACCTGCACGTTATTTATTAGAGATAAAGATATGAAGAAAAATTTGGGCGTTTGAAATAATTGTTTCTAACTTCTACGGTTTTCACTTTAGACAATTTAAAATAATGGATGACGACGGCAACAGGTCGCTTGATATCAAGGAATTTATGAAGGGCTGCGCTGACTTTGGTGTTCAGATAAGCAAGGAAGAATGTCAAGAAGTTTTCCAGGCCATAGATAAGGACAACAGTGGAACTATCGATTTTGACGAATTCCTCCAGGCCCTCAGGGTAACAGTTGTGATTAACAAATCTTTGCGTTTTAGCCTCCCTTATCAAATTCTAGGATAAACTTAATAAATCAAGCCTTCATAAAGATGGACAAGACAAAAGATGGCACGATAACGGTATATTTTTAAAAGTCTGCTGTAGTTTTGTTCTCTGTATTAGGGTAGATATAATATTTTTCATGCATTTGTGGAGCATCTGGCTTTTGCTTGTTCTTCAAATTTGCATCAAAGACTATTTATCCGGCAAAAAATATGCAGTCGAAATTTGAACGCCTATTTAAAAATTGTTGGTGAACTATTTAGGCGGATGACCTTAAAGGAGTTTATAATGTTTCAAAGCACCCAAAATATCTAAATGGAGAATGGACAGAGGACCAAGTTTTCGCCGAATATTTAAAGACTTTTGAAGTCGGTGGAGACGTTGATGCAATAGTAAGTTCCTGTTAATTACATCTCATGTAGTCTTCTACAATCTGATTTAGCTCTCTGGATTGCCGACACACTTACTATTAGGATGAAATAATTTATTTCTACTTTTTATTATTGTTGATGTCAAGAACGTAAAAAATGTATAAAGTAGCGTTACGAAATGAACGCAGGCTTGTAGACAATAAATCACTGTTCACTGGATCGTTCATAGTTTTGGGGGAGTATTATAAAACGTAAGTATTTTATATAAAAACCCAAATTTATTTCGCATATTAAGGCATTTCAGTAAATTACGTTAAACTTTCGAGCATGAGCCGTGCCTTAAACTGACAACAAGTCAGTTTGCTGATGGCAGTTTTATTTGAATGGTTTCGCAGACCTAATTACTATAATTCATCGAGCAAAGTATTTGGAAACCGCAAAACGAACCATAATTTAAAATAAATAAAGCTAGAAAAGCAGGTAGACTTGGTATTCATGCGGTCACTTTAGCAAAGAAAATGCAAAAAACAATAAGTTTGGCATATGTCGGTCATTTGGCCTTCGCTAGCATTTCTTTTCCTGAGGGTAATTTGAATAGCTGCTCAATAATAAAAACATCGCTTATTCTGATTTGTTTCGATTTCCTGGAATCCACTCCGTGATTGTTTTAGTGTCACCCGAATATCGTAATAAAATATCTATCTTTAGGATATAATATCAATTACAATTGGACGTCTTTGCATTATGACTACATGATTTGTTTCAGAAGTCAGAATTGAGTGCTTAATTAATTTCTGAAAAATTTAAAAAACAAATCTGTTTGAATTCGACCTACACTATAAACATTTCGAGAAAGCATTACATTAAGCTGCATAATAGTTTATCTTATTGCTCCATTTTTCACGTTTATGGTCACTATACTTTTGGTAGCCATACATACAGCCTACGAATAACAATAATTTTAAAAACATAAACTGCGCTGAAGAAAAACAGAAAGTAGGGCAGTATAAAGCCCTATAATGGAGCATGGTATTTCCTCAAATGATTGTATCATGGGCTAGTGCTGGGTAGACTAAATGATTAATGGGAAAGCCGAGTCAGTAAAAGCAGTAGACATTCGCGATTGCATAAGGAGCTGCAGTATGCAAATTTTTGCCATCTTAATATCTATGTCAAAAAAATGTACTTTCCGTCAAAATTTAGGTTACAAAGGAAGAATTTCTTAATTACTACTCCGGCCTCAGTGCATCTATCGATAATGATGCATACTTCGATCTGATGATGCGGAACGCTTTCAAACTGTAAGAATAAATACACGGTACAATCTTGTACATCCAATACTTATATATACCGTTTTATGTGTCCACTGCACAGAGTTATATCGAGTACGCATCAATTGTGTTTTTAAACAGTTTATTACTGATATGTTTGTACTTTAGTATGTATGTGCGAGGGAAGTGAACAGTATCCACCCTTGGATCGAAGAGCAAAAGTGCCGGTTTTACAACATTCTAAACATATTGGATTTAAACTGTCACAATCGGTGACTAATCTGATTCAGAGTATTCATCCCAAATATCAAACCCTAGAACCAGTCTAAATTAATCCAGTCTATTACGTCTTATTATTATGTAGATGTAATTAGACGTAATTTAGTATTTTATCATAAATTATTCTCTTCAGAGAGAACGTACGGCAATGGTTTGTAGGAGACGACAAACCCCACATAGTCAGTAGTGGTGAGGTGTTAATCTTATAACCGAAATTGAATTGAGCGAAGTGATTTTGCCATCAGGAATCGAAATCCGGCGAACGTTTCATCTGTATTGGTTTTCTATCCGCAGTATTGCCTGCATAACTGTATGTATTTTCTTTCATTAGAAGGTAAAAATGGATTGTCCTAATTTGCCTAAGGGCGTAGCTTATGGACTCGTATTTACAAAGATCCGAATACTGGCGGTTATTTTCAATCAGTTTAAGGGCAAAAAAAGTTCGTGGCAAATAATGCTCGCTCCAAAGCAGAACTACAGTGGGTGGGCTAACTCATGAAATGCGTTTTAGTTTCTAAAAGGTTAATTAAGTGGGGTTGTGAAACTTATCATCATGCAGGGTAATTATGTAGTAATATAGCTAGCATAGGATGCCGGTTTTTGAACTAGCTTCTATCCGGCTGCATGCAAAAACCGTACTCTTTAAAAAATGACTGTTTTCGCAACATGCATTCTTCTCATTGATTTTCGATGCCTTTAAAAATTCAACTATATTTCTTAGAGAGCATGTATAACAATACTCATTCTTTTACTCATGCCGTAGAATATTACGTCTCCTCTTTATACCGTAGGTAAATGCATGGTTTTTCGTAAGCGAAAAATATACGACTTATAGTTTGTATAACCTAACTGCAAGTAAAACGGCATGTGGTCAAAATTTTTCGAAGGTAGAAAAGTCTTTGAAAACTGAATTATACGTTTCCTTCGAACGTAACATTGGAAGTAATTGGACGTAATGTTTTACCAGTTTGTTAAAAGAATGAATATTGTTATGCATGTTTTCCACGAAATATATTTGAATTTTTAAAGGCATCGAAAATCAATAAGAAAAATGCATGTTGCATAAGCAGTCTTTTTGCAAAGAACAGTTTTGCCTGCAACCGGAAAGACGTTTGTTCAAAAGCCGGCATTCTGAGGTAACGGAATTATTATAGAATTATGTTGCATGATGATTAATTTAACGACCGTACTTAATTATTCATTTCGAAACAGAGACGCGTTTTGAAATTTCGGTTGACATTTCATGGGTTAGCCCACCTACTGTATCAAGACAGCGCAAAGCTTAGGCAACTCACGGGCCTAGTATCAAATAACAAGAGGAGATTTAGGCATCAACTGAGAGAATACTGTTTCCTGTACAGAAAAGTTAGGATTTAGTTGAAATGGACTAGCGGCATAAACAGGCATGCGACTGAATGCCTACATTTGGCAGGTTATAAAACAGACTGGACACACTGAATTTTGGGGAAATGGGCTACAGTTTTCGTGGTCTATTTGTGCGCAGAGGTCGTATTACAAAATCTTTCCTATACGGGTACTTTCTAAATCCTTAAAAATTCAGTACAGAGTACTGAAAGAGTACAGAGTGCAATAGAGACAGCCCCAGTTTTCACACTAAACGATGCCTAAATCGCTATCTACTACCCACTGTTGAACTGACCTATATGAAACATCTGAGATTTACTTGGGAAGAACCTGAGGAATTAAACGCCTGTTCAGGGAAATAAATAGACTCGGACATAGACTATTTCAGCAGTTGATAAACTAGAGACTCTTGTAGGTCTTTTTGTCCACATGCATGTTATCGGACCATTTAAAATTTGTGGGCCTGCACATGTTTATAAACCAGTAAAATCAAAACGCTTGCATCAGACCGCTCTTATTTCTTATAGGTAGAGAAAACCACAAAGAACTGCAATGACGGTGATCAAACTGAACCAAATAAAATGCCTTTCCATGACATCTTCGTATTTCCCTGTGGTGATCTTGATTTTCGATACTTTTGTAAAGCAACTTTCAACAACTTTTTGTGAATATAAAGTGACTGAACATCTGTTTTCAGTTCTGTATCCTTTACGTGAATTTCAAACACAGCTTACCTAAATAACGATTTGGCAAAATTCTATGTAACAGTTAACAAACCGCTCTAAAATTGATCATATTGCGTGGGTCATAAGCAACGTTAAATGACCTTGAGGAGGTTTGTTTGGTAAACGTAGAAAGCAGATACGCCTGATGGAATTAAGCATGGTCTTTTTTGATGCCGTGGAAGCAGAGTTAACAGAGTTCAAACTGCTCTTAAAAACTGGAAACACAGTCTACTATAACAATGACTAGTCACTCAAATAATTATTGCTCACGCGCGGACAAAAAGGTTTGTCACATCATGCATTACTAGTCAACCACGTTAACAATACAAGCGAGTGCCCATGCATGCGTTTAATTAAGGCCTCTGTTGGCTGGCTGGAATCGTAAAAAAATTGATCTCTAATATGGAAACAACGCTGTTACATTGGTTCATTTTCTCCAGCTCTCAGCACTTTTGCATTATCTCCTGAAAAAGAAGTCTGAAGCATAGAGGGGAGACAACTTTCAAGGTAATATAGGGAAGTATTTAAAAAACTCCATGATTTGATACGTTGTTTGGAGAAAGACCCTGTAACTGCTGCGGGTTTCGGTTTTCTGATTCGCTGGAGGTGGCCCCGCTGTCGAAAGCGAAATTATTCTTTGAGGAGACTGGGAGGGCGGTCACCAAAGACAGTTTTTATCCCATAGCAAGCTCATTTTCATGAGTTCTCAACTCGACTGGTTCGCCATTGTCACAAGCATCCTTATTTACGTAAAATCAGGTGAGTTTCTCTAGGCTTTCGACTGATGGGCAGTGGATGCATGGACGTTTGATAAAATACTGTAAACGGTTTGTGTGCTATCGCAGTCTCCCATTTCACTGACTAGTTTAACGACTTCTTCGGGTACAGCATAAGTGCACGCATTGTATGTCATGCCAGTTAGTTTCTCGGGTTAGAGGCTCATAGTTGGTCTTTCATGGGTATTTTTGGGGAGAAGTACCCGGGTATTCATCGGACGGAAAGACTTTTATCGATAACATGCTTCAGCCATTTTATGACCGCAATGAACAAAAGCGTGATTGCAGACGTTTTTGACGCAGTCGCGTTTTTGCAAAATGTGCAAATATTTCATGAATAATCGAAGCACGGGGTATATAAGTCCATTTTCAATATGCACAGAATGTTTCTCTGCAGACCAACGCACCTTAGAATGACCGCCAGATTCCTTTTCTGTCACAAATCTGGTGATCGGGAAAATTGATTTCAGATGCAGAGGGAATATTTGAATCAGTACCCATTTGGTGATGACGGAGATGCCACCGAAATAGTGGAGGAGTATAAAAAATAAAATGAAGGTCAGACACCCCGTCGTAATTCGCTGGGCAACGGACAGTATTTTCCTGCTACTTAATTTGCGAAAGTAGTTTGGAATAATTGCCCATTCGGCGGCATTCGAAAGTCAGGCTGATCGTTGTATGCAGCAAAGATTGTGGTAGACTAAAGACCGAAGTGTTAAGGAAAGCGACAAATATGGTGCAAGTACTAAACTTCAACAGCAACCACCCAATCAGCCACAAGCGCAGTTGTGTAAGGACGCTCTATCAGCGTGTCGAAACGCACTGCAGTGTGGAGGAAGACAAGATTGCCGAACTAAAATACCTCTGACGGGTCATCAAAGCCAATGGTTACTCGCGCAACTTCGTCAACCGGTGCATACGAAAAAGGGACAAAAGACCTAACCGCACGGACACCGAATTTTGGCGAACGTTTCCGTATATCAGGAACGTTTCGGAAGCTGTCGGCCGCCTTCTTGCACCACTTTGGTGCAGTTGCGGACAAAGCAACTATTTCGGACTGACTAGGAGACAAATCCAAACGCGAATGGCCGAACACGCTGCAGCGATGCGGAGAAATGACGCCAGCTCTCAAGTTGCGGCTCATTCGACGGGTTCTGGTCACACATTCAAATTTGACGAGGCCGAAATTCTCGCGAGAGGTGACAACCGCGTAAGCAGGAAGCTGCTTGAGTCATGGTTTACTGGCTCTCAGTCCATTAGCTAGTGCACTGAACTTCCCTTTCTATACTCAGTGCTGCGACTTTGCCTGGGCGGAGTAATTGGCCACACAGTGAGCGTACGGGTGAAGAATTTTCCCAACACCAGTGTTGGTGCGTCAGATGGTCGAGCAATCATCGCACCAACATCCAACGCACGTGATGAGATTGCAGCAATTACCGAGGCAAATATCGGCCATCAAACAGTCAGCACACCAAGTGCAACGATCCCTGATGAAGGTGGGGGGGGAGGTGGACCGTGAATATTCATAGGTATGCGGTAGTATAGCGACTGCATCCTATGAATACTGCAGCCACTTATGCATGAACCATCCGTATCTGCCTTTGTCTCTGATGATGGGTTCAAGCAGGAATCCAAAACGTCAGGCTAATAAAGCTCTTGTCCCATCGATCGTGCCTCCTTCCTCAATAAGCTGACCGTCAGCAGCTGCATCGGTGTACGCTGGGATTACGAATAGAAACAAATGGCCTTCCATCTCGTCGTTGTCCTACGACGGCTACAGAGTTTAATAAATTCGGTCTTGACACCATGTGACAAATTTGGTAACCTCTTCTGCATTTCCGCCTGCGCGTGATTTCCTTTTACCCGCCCCTGGATAACTCCGCAAAATAAATTGCAAAAGGTATGCCGGGTTTTTATGGTTTTTCGTCATTTCCATTTGGTGCACTTACTTGATGCATGCTCACGGCTTCATCCAACGGGACTCGCCTCCTGCACACATAGTTATTTAGCTAGATTTTATTGGATGTCTCTTCCATATCAATAAAAACGATGATGGGTAAGCTGACAGGCCTTTAAACGGTGGAAAATACAATTAGACGTAGTTAACTTGGCAGCATTTTTGAACAGATGCAGCCACTCTGAAGTACGTCCAAAGCACCACGATGGGCTTTAAGCTTAAGCAAACTATCTGGTAAAAACGTTTGAAATATTGAATAAGCAGATGGATAAAACACTTACAACTGTTAGCCGATACTGCTCGTCAGATTTTGAGGTTGTCACCATGAAGCATAATCGAAAGATAGTTCAATTACTTCGGGAAACTGGCTCTTTAACGAACTTGTTTTCGGCCGCCTCCAAACCCGAATTCTGTGAAAAATGACTGCCTAAGGAGCATTAAATGTTCACATTGATTTCCAATGCCTTTATACATGTAAGCCTATTGCATAGAAAATATATATAAAAATATTTATTCTTTTACTCAGTTTTTGAAAACGTACATCTTCTTCAAAATTTTATGCATGACAGATGAGTATAATTCGGTTTTAAAAAGTTTATAATCGTGAGATGTTTAAGGCTGTGAAGTGCCAGTACATAAAACAATAGGATTATGCATTTACTGACGTTGCTTTTAGAGTGTACAATATGACTCAAATCCGCTGCTAAATTTTATGGACCCCATATAGTCTCACTTTAATGGCTTTTTACAAGCTAGCATGCGACTGTTAAGCTTCGTTTCAAGATCAACCCTGGAAATACCGTCGGCGTCGCTGATGATGAGTTATAAATAATCGTAAGATGGCGTCAAAAATGTGGAGCACCTGGATTGGTCATTTCTGGTTTATCCGCAATTATCAGTGCCTTTGGTTATGCTTGTAAGCCCTTGCATTTTATTACACTCAAGGCAAAAACGTCGCTTACGCTGTAGCTGTTTGCGGACATTGGTGAGGAACAGAATTAACACTATAGTCAACTACTCAGCCCACAGAAGCATGAGTGAAAAAGTAACAGATCCTTAAGGTGCTGGCAGCCGAAAAAAAGGGCATAATGGAAAACTTTTACGGCGCTTTGGTTTCTACAATATGGTCCAGTATATCGCTTGTAGCAATGAGTCCTCCACGAACCCCCTCTGCTGGACTTCTTTTAATCGGTCATCTTGACCACGGTTTCATGCTCAGCGAAATTCGTAGCGATGGTAAATTTTGACCACCAATCGTCCCTCCACTACCCATAAAGGAGTCTCCTCCTAAACGCAACCTGTCATCATTAAAACTTTTGGCAGCACTCGACTAAAGTCAACTGTATGTAGGCGTAGCTTGTAGGTGACAATTCTTCTATATTCCTACCTATAAATGCCCGCTATTCTTCCATTAAAACAGACAGAGATCCTAAGTGCACATTCTTTAGTGATTTATATATTATTCAAATATTTTGCCTGAGGAAACGAAATATTTCAGTTTGAAAAATTTATTTCCAATTCCGGAACAATTTTAACCCTGTCAGCTGAGTCACATACGTCTAAGACTACTGAACTAAAAGCTACCTACTGTTCATTTCCTAAAATGTATACATTCCTATATGCTATCGTGAAATTACCATATGCAGCTTAAGTTGTATGCTTTGAAAGAAGTCATAGCAAGGAGCAGACACCAAACCATTTGAATGAACATCGCTAGATCTTAAAAAATCCCATCAATATTAGGTTTTTGATCGTTTTAATCATCACAATGTCAAAAATAAAAAATTAGGGAGGAGCTATTCACTACAAACGATCATGAAAAAGGATCTTTTTGCAATGGGTTCTACAAAATATGTTTAAAAGTCAATAGAAGATATGTATTAATAAAACAACACCCTTTGGAATTTTGCCGGCTGTCGGAAAGACGAGCATTCAAAGTCGATGTCCACGCGTGACTGGAATATCTAAAGATATCACCGCATGATAATTAATCATACAAAATCGCATAATTAATCCTTTCCGACCGAGATCGTATCTCATAATTTTAGCCCACGTCTCCTGGGACACATCACC